AATGTCTTACAGGCTATTTGTAGAGTGTCAAGACAGTTCGCTCAATAAAATATTTCTTCGATAGTACTTTTGTGGTTTTTGACATTATGGGTATTCCCCAAATAAGAATTTATGTGTAATATTAAAATTTAGAAATTATACAAAATTATAAAAAAAAGATATGTCTTAGAGCAAAGAAAAACAACCATGATAGAAGTGGATGGCTCTTACATTAGACATGATGGTCAATATAATTTGCTCTGAGCCAGCGACACAACATGAGTAAATATAGATGGTTCATTATTAGTCTGTAGATTTTTTTTTTTTGGAAAGTCAAAATAGTTAGTTATGGTAATATATCTGTTTAACTTTCTATTTTGCTATAAGTGTTAAAATATGATCAACTCATTTCAATCTAATTTTGGGCTATGACAAAACAAATAATAATTATTATGTTTCTTTTTGTCATTAAAATATTTAGAGATAGTCCAGTTAAAGTCCATTTAAATAATACGTTTATTATGTACAATAACATCAGATTTTTTTCTACTTTTTATTAATACTAATAAAAAATATATTAGAATTGCTCAATATCATTATTTCTATTAAATTATTACCATACCTAGTACCAATATTTATTTAGTATGTTTACAATAATTATTGCAGAGGCATAGTCTGAATATTTGGTTTGTTGGAGCTCGAGTATTTCGAATGAAATATTGTTTTGTTATTGATTTAAAATATGTTCTGGTTATAATTAATTACAATTTTCTGTATATTAATAATTCAAGAGATTTAAAATTAAATTTAAATTAATACAAATTAAAAGTTTTATTACAGCGATATGTAAGACCAATATGTTTTTATTATTTTTATATGTAGCCAACTTCGAAAAACAGAGAAATACTGTACCACACCCTGTGTTCCTGCATACTTTTTTCAAATTTATTAAACCGTGGTTCATGGTAAACATATTTTGGACTTTTCACTTAAAAAACAAGAAATACATGTGATATTGTTGTATACTTAATTTGACATTTCATTATATTTAAGTAGTTCAGATTGAAAGTTCAAAGAATGATTAATAAGTGGTACGTGTTACATACTAACAGCTACGACCGATTAAGGACAAGAATAAACTAATGTAGGTCTTTCTAATATTATAAGTAAAGGGCCTGTTAAGATGGTAATCTATTTGTATACGAATAAGTCACTTAAAGGTGCTACCATTAATCTATGGAAGTTGTGATCACTTTTGGTTGTCGTGTTAATGATTTGTCATTTCACTTGACTGCTAATAACCTTGAGATGCTCCAACTGCCTATGGTTATGTTTCTTAACTTTTTGAAACTATTGTGGTGTGATGATGAGAAAAAAATATATATATTAACAATAACGAATTTTCTTATAGTTTTGACAGAGTTTGTTTTACTACATAAATGGGCTTTTTGGTTCAATCCTCTTTTCGTTTCACTGTTAGTTTATTATTAGTTTTCTTTGCTTCTATATGTTATCGCCTCTATCATATTTGTGAAAAGTCGCAGCTTTATACTTGTTGCTTATTTTAGAACTTTTAAGCGATCATCAATACGATACCGTTGTAACGAAATGGAACTTAATTTGTGAACAAAAAAAATGTGAATGCATTCAATTTAATTATATAAATAAATATGCATGAATTCATAATCTATCTATTTAAAGTTTTTAAAATATTATTCAGTTTTATAATTGCCTTGGACTCACAAAAAAAATTACTGTGAGTAACCATTGAGGTAAAATTATGTTGATAAAACATCCAAGGAGGTTGGCAAAATCTTTAGCTTTAGCTATAAGTCCTTTAGTCAACTTCATTATTGTTATTTAATTATTAAACATTATATTTATAAATATATTTATATAAAGGATCATATAAAGTAGAATAAAGTAGAATTCGGTTAGTGTGGTTTTTATTTAAAACCTACACCATAGGAATTGCATACCATAACATGTTGTTATTATTTTTTTTATTAGCTTCAGGACATACCACATACATTTAATTTCTCATTTAACCTATCTTGAATTATTTTAATAACAAACACATTTTTTAGTTTTTATTTTTTTTTATTTTTAGCTGGATTAGACTATTGAACTGTTATAGATTATGGGTGGATAGATGATTGTATTAAGTATAGGTATGTTTATTTAATGAATATATGAACACTTTTGAGAACGAATAGATATCACAAACAGTTTAATGTTGTACAATTATATTTTAAGTTGATTTTAAGTCATGACTTAGTATAAGTAACGAGTACTTTACAAGTCTACTTGTAATAGGTAATTTGTTGACTTCTTCAATAATATTTGTAATCCTGAGAAAAAATAGCCCACAACCTCTAAAATAGTTTGAAAAAATTTTAAAGAGCGATATTTATTATCGAGTTCTATTAAATATTGGTTTTTGAATGCGAAGATTTGTATTGATTTGTATTGATTTCAAATTTATCATCAAAACATACAACTAAACTATGTCGAGATAATCGAATAAGACGACTGCTCCAACCTGCAAAAGCGTCTGGATTTTTTTTTTAAAAAGGGTCGTTTAGTACCCAAAGTGGATTGTGAATCATAAAAGGTGATTGTGAGCATTACTGCATAGTGCATACATTATGTGGTCATAAATTAAAAAATGTAAAACCAATAGTTTCTAAAAAGTTTTTTTGTAATTTTATTATATCCTGGATTATAAATTTAGTGTATTAATAATGAATAATGATATATTATGCACATTCCAAAAAGGATTATTGTCGATTATATTTTATTTTATATTTTACATTTTAAATTATGCACTTAAGGGTTTGAATATTGTAACAATAATCATAATTATTAATTGGTACAATGAGAACAAAAAATAAAGATAATAAATATAGATAGGTATTCGTTTGTTGTCAATTTAAGATTTTATGATTTTTGAAGAGTTCTAAATTAAAATTTCAATATATTTATTAAGATTTGAATTTAAAATTCGCTTTATGGAATTTATCGTGATGGTGTGTCGAAAGCTATGTTAATATCCGTTAAAAATACAATTATGGTGAGTGTACAATGAAAGTTTGATAATTAGATTGGTATTTTCTTACATTATATACATGAAGATGAAATATTTGAATTTTTTCCACTACATAATATTATATAGAATGTTGTATATTCTAAATTAAATATAAGAAACTCCTTGTAAGGCATATTAATTATATTTGGATATTTTGAACAACTTTACTTAAATTACAGAAAACTACATAGTTCATGGACACAATTTATATTATATCATTGGCCTTTTGTTCGATCAGTATTATATTTATTCATTTGAATAGTGAAATTATTAAACATACTAATTATTTTTCAACTATAGTGTTTATAAATTATAAATTTTTATCTACTTACCTATTAAAAAAATTAAGAATGTGTAACTTTTAATTTCAAAAGTTCTTTTCAAGTAATGCCCCTATGTGGACGGTAGCTAATATTATTTGAATCTTTTATTAAGTTAAAATATTATGTTCATGATTATTATCATCAAACCATTTTATTACATTATCTGAAATTATATCATTTATGGAAACTTGGAAATATCGACTTTCCATTGAAAATAGTCGATATATATCGAAAGTATGTATTATTTTACTCAAAAACTAATTTAGACAATATTAATATAAAAATATATTTTTATTTTAACATTGAAAATCTATAATTTAAGTATATTATTCATAAGCTTCTATATTATATATTAATATAAAATATACTATAGGTAGTTGAAACTTTTAGTTGTGCAAAAAAATATCTGCCAGGCTTAATAAAATATACTGTGTTTATAGAATTGTATAATACCTAACCTAACCTAAACTAATCTAAAAATTATTTTTAAAAAAATAAATTTTCTAAGGTTAGACTATTATTGTGTAAAATATTAGAATATGATAGTATTTTTTAGATATTTATTTATACATGAATATTTAGCTAACTAGTTGGTATTTAGCATAATATGGGTAATGTTATTCTGATGATGATTAGTGTTTATTAATTAACAATTTTTTTAAAGGTTTAATAATATAGTTACTTTAGTAGTATAGTTAATAATATTGCTCATGGTGATGGCGTGTGAATTTGAACTGTTTCAGATAGGTGATTAATGATTTGAAACTTGACTACGTCATATGCATAGATCATAAACAGCATAAGTTTATTTATAAGCGTGCTATTGTCATATTTAAAAGTGATGAATAATATATATACGCGGTTATAGATATATAATATATTATACTGTAAAAATTTTTTTTAGTGAAACATAGTTATATTAATAGGCAGTGTGCTACATAATAAACTTAAATATTTTAATGATAACCATTTATAATATTATGACATATTTTATGGTTTCGTAATCACATATAAACACCTGTATTATAATGCAGCAATAAAAATAGGTAGATTTATTGATATGTATCAACATATTTTAAATTTAATCGGAGTGAGTTTATAAATTAATGATAGTAACAATTAAATACATGAAACGTTATTAAGTGGATATTGGTCATGATTTTGTGAAAAACGTGTGTTACTCACATTTCTTACCATTTTATTTGGTTGATTTTCACGTTTGTTTCAAGACTACTTTTAAAATTGAAAAATAAACTCTTTTTTTAAGAGAACTGTGTCAAATTTTCTATCTATAGATAAGATAGGTAGGTACATACAATTTTTGAGGCACTTGCCCAAAAAAGTGTGGTCATGCATTCTCAACAAAAACAAATTGTACGTAGTTAATATGGTGAAACCTCTAAATACCGGACACTGTCAAAGAATGGGCAATGGGCACAGCACTTTCACTGGGTCCAGAAACCTTGTAGTGCCCCCCCCCCCCTCGACGTCCTTTAGGGATATTTAACTGTAATTTGTAAAAATCATCCCTCGTTTGTTTAAATAAAAGAGTTTAGTAAATTATACTGTATATTATTATATATTATATTATTTTATTGGTTTGTTGACAGATACGCAGAATAAGATAACATGAGGATTTATGCCGTTCACGGATTTAATTCGTTCCTCTGGCGAAATACATTTCCATATGCCACGTAACCCGCAATCCTAGCGGGGAACTCAGTGCATTTTCAATAGCGTGTCAGATATAAATCAATATTCCAAAACACCGCGGGAAGAGCAAAACAAATCTTACAAAATGATACCCACAAACGTCATGTCATTCATCAACAAGGTTAGTGTTTAATTCAAAGTTGAATGGATTTTAATGAACTCGTATACTAACATCGTTCTGTTTTCACTGCTGTGTTAATTTTCTTCGGGAAATAATAGCTACGGTGGTGTAATATATCCTTTTTGAAAATTCAATTAGTGTTTCGAGGATTCTCTGATATATTTTCTGGGATTTGAAAACAGCTTTCAATTGTATTAGTATTAGTACACGTATGCCACATGGGCATGCATTATTGTGTGAATGCTTGAACGGTTTATTACTGTTCATATACAGTCTTAACAACGATGTTAACAACCGATTGGAGAGAAGAATAAAAAAAATAATCACTCGATAAATTCGCCAAGAAAAGAAAAAAAATGAAAAATAGAAAAATAAAGGTGAAAATATGTGTGCGTGTGTAAAACATAATGGTGGTACATGGGAGGGGTGAAATGTCGTAAATGGAGTAATCAGCTGCCTTTGACGTGGCTACGACGAGAAAATAATGTTCTGTGTTTATAGAGTAGAAAAGAAATGCAGCCTCCAAATGGGGTGAAAAAATAAAATAAAGAGAAAAACTTATTGAGAACTTTTTAAGAAATATAAACAAGTAGGTGAACCGTACGAGCACTTTCAAGAACATAATTTTTTTCTGTGATAGTATTGTGTATCGTGTATGCAGTGTCTTTCATATTGAATTGCCAGCTACTGTAATATTAATCAGATTTCAATATTTGATGTTGTTCGAGGTTTTTGACCTCGAATATATAAATTGTCTGTCAATAAGTACGTTATTTGGACTTAAAATATAATAATGATGATTTAATTGAGAAAACAAAACTACTTTGACATTTTCTAATATTATTTTTTTATTGTTTATTATTCGCAATACAGATAAAACAAATATACTATTTAATTTTTACTTATCGCTTAGTAAAATGATTATTTATACTATAATAAATAATAATGAATGTTATCGGGTGGTTGGTAAATCAATAATGAATAAATTGTCAAGATAAAACTAATCTTGAAATTAATCTACGTACCTAATATTAATAGATTGTGAATAAATAACAAATAACATATCAATGCTGTAATATAGTGTATAATATGAAAAATAATTATTTTATTAAATTAGTTTTCAGTAGATTTTATTAGAATTGAATATAATATAGATTATGAGTTTTATTTAAATGCCGAGATTATAAATGAAATAAAATGAAAAATAATTAGTTAATGTAGGTAGTTATAAATTATAACATTTAATGGAAAATAAATTAGTCTATATTTCAGATATCCTTAGCCATAGTATCATGATATTATGATGAAACTTGTAGTCAATGCAAAAATAATTGTTTTGATTTTATAATTTAACATTTTATTTATTCTGATATTTTTGATACTTGTGTTTTGAATGGTTTGAATCGAACAAATTGCTTTCGTTAACAAAAATATTAATAAGTAACATTTTTTATCTACTTTTATTTTTTTCTTGCGTGGGAACATTTTCTAGCATTAAAAAAATGTATGGTAAAACCTATTTTTTCTATAATAGGTTTATATTCTGGACAGAATATTTCATTAACGGCTATTAACTGTCTTTTAACCAAACTATTGATTGTTAGAAAAAAAACCAAAAATATCCAAATAAATCTCAAGTTAAACTTCTTTAAGATACACTCAAGCCAGTTTTAAACTTATAAAAACATGCTTCATTGAAACTAGAAGTTTTTTTTCGAAATGACAATGATAAAACGATTCCAAAACTTCAGCCATCTATACCAGATGTCCATATAATATTAGTTGACGTACACTGTGAATTTTCACACTAGCTGTATTAAATTATGTATGACCGTTGAATGCAATGAATCAAAATTTGTCACATGTCAAGAGTTTTTTTTAATGATCGAAAAAGTTAACTAACCCTTCACCTTTGTGCTCATTACAATTTTTGTTGTGTAATAATTCATAACCATAATTTGGGTGGGTAAAAATAGTATTTTGGTAGAATTTTCCTCATGAAAAAATAAAGTTGAACTAACACAAAATTTAAGCTATAATATAAAGATGGTAATAGGATTTATAGATAATATTATATTGTAATCGAACATATTATGGTTTATATAAGCTTGGTTATGATTATTATCCTAGAGCGAAAATTAAATTAAGAGTATTTGTGATGTTTAAACACATAATATGCAATATTATTAGGTATTCAATATTATGATCGAAGTTTCAACATTTTTGGTATGCATATTTATTTATTTGTTTTGTTCGTATAGATAGTTAAAGATTGATAAAGTGCTTAATATTGCCTATTTTATTATTGATAATTGATATACACTGCCTAGAGGTTACATTTTTAACATTACCTATAGGCTATAATAATTTATTTTCTTCAAAAGTAATGAAAATTCAAAAAAATTATTAAAAGTAACATTTATAAATCATTGAGGGATATTAATGTTAAAAATAAAATACGATTATTGTTATAATAAATAAATAAATATCATGTAAGTTTCGTAGGTAACATACCTAATAAATAATAAGTTTATTATTAGTCTTTCAGTGTTGGAGTTGTATTTTTTTTGAGAAGCAAAAAGATAAACGAGGAGTTGATAAAAGCATGGTCGCTAATAAAATTGGGAATTATGAATATAAGCTTGAATGTTTGAGTATGTCCGAAGTACAACTATTAATCAAGGGATTCGGGAGTCTGTCATGCACGCCTTTCTTTTTCTCGTTGATGAATTTCTATACACTTGACACAAGAGTACGATATTTTAGTACATTGTATAATACAGTAATTTGTCCTTACATGGAGAGTAAAATGTATTTTTTTTTATGAAAACACATGTAACTGAGAAGATGGAGTGGAAAGAACATCATTTTTCTTGATGTAGGCTAGATTATGTATATGGATTTTATAATTGAAATGAAAATAAACCACTACTACATAAACCATACTAGAATATTATTGGGTAAAATATTTAGTATACTGGGTTTCAACAATCATTATTATTTTGTGTTAATAATAAGTCCAAATACATTTAAACATAGTGGTTATTTTTGTAAGCAGATACTTATAACTATAAGTTATAGTTTATCGTAATTACTAATTAGTAGAGTTTAAGTACTCTTTCAGTCGAGGACTTCATGGCATATCTAAATATTCTTTTTAAGCTTGAATGGAATTCTTATCGTATTTGATCGATGAGTATGTTTTCATAAAAGTTTCAATAAGTACTGCATAGTTATCAGTTTCACACACATAACACAAAATTGCTTACACAATAGCCATCAATAAATATTCATTTCCAAGCTAGTGCCCAAAGTTTTCCTAAAGACAAATTTTGTTAAATTTCACAGATTGAAAGGAAAGAAATTAAAAATATCATATGACAACTTTTGTTGACACTTGTGAGAAAATTATTTATCCCAGTCTTTTTTCATAAATTATTTTGAGGATTTTCCAAAATAATTTGAATCATGCTATCATATAATTCGATCAAAAAAATTTCAAAATATCATTCTTCTAAAATTGTTTTGTTTCTACATCATAGAAATAAAAAAAATAGATAAGGATGACGAAGTGGATGTCGCTTTCCTCTATAGTAGGTTACAAGTTGGTCACTGTAATGGATAGTGTTAAATATGAATTCAATGATAATAAGTCATTGTGAACGATAAACGATTCTGAGCGAAGAGGATCTGTTAGTCAATAATATTAATTAGTAATTTAGTATATTTGACTATAATACTATATTATTGTGATAAAAGTAATATTTATTTTACTATTAAGCATTAGTACTACGCAGTAGATTCAATTCATTTTCGTAAAAAAAAAAATATATGTATATTTAAAAGTCATTGTGAGTTTAAAATATAATAATACACTTAAAAACATTCAAGTACCTACCGACAAATAATTTTTTTAATTTACAACGAAATAACATAAATTATTATTTTTCAATTCTTAGTTATTTAATATGATATTTCGTCCACATTTGAACATAAAAAAACTAAAAAAAAGTGTCGTTATATATTTTTAAATATTTTGGTTACAGAACAACCTACTTGCGTGAAACTTTATTTTAAATTTTCAGCACTTAACTATAATAGTTAAGAGATTAAAAAATTTTGTCCAAATTTGAACATTATTTTGTTTAATGTATAAAAAAAATATTTTCTCAAATTTGGACTTACAGTATCTTTTCTGATGTAAAAGCTACGTGGCTTGGTTAGAGTAGTCGGTTGTTTGAAGGGTCAGTGGTTAGTCGAATGGGCTGCAAAACCCTGACCACAGGGGAATTGGGTGGCAAACTGGCAATCGTAATCACGATACTTAACCGCAGTCTAGAGAGTGGTGAAGGTTCTAAAAGAAACGGAGACAACAAATATTTTAAGTTACAATAGTACCTATCATAATATACACAATACCGAAATGACTAAATAAATGGTTATGTACTGCATATATTTCTTAATAAAACCATTTAAACATTTTTAAATTAATCGGAATTTCACCATATAAAATATAAAAACAATTGAACAATTATTTTAATTTAGGTAACTACATTTAGATGCAAAATCTTATTCATTGAGTCATGTTAAAATGATGAGTTCTCAATGAAATGAAAAAAATAATTTAAGTACTTCCAAATATGATAATTCATAAATTTGGTGTGATTATTTTTGAAACTTAGTTTTTATTAAGTGAAGTAGTATCAGTTGATACAAATTTTCTTATACAATACGTATTTATAATAAAATATTATGTTTATTTTGACTTTATGAATACAATGAATAATTTATAATATATTTAACAGTTAAGTTTTATCCTATCCTATAACAGAAACTATCAAAGAGATTTAGGGACTATTGTGTGTATTATGAACCACGGTTTTCCATTAAGATTTGTATATTGAGACTCGACCCATAATTTATTTCTCTCCACTATAATATATCCTTTATATTTAATTAATATCAATACAAATCCTTTATACTATGAAATCTATTCAAAA